TTTATCCGCTGCTTCCCCCCCCCGGAAAAAAGAGGGTGCACGTACAAGATCGGTAGGGGAAAATGTAGAAATTGGGCTTTAAGTATTCCAGCATTTAAAAAGTAACAAGAATGTGATGATTTCAGAGTGTTCTGTCTCATTACTGCAATGTATAATAATAAATAAAGCGTATGCTTTGAATTTCAGCGTGTTCAAATGTGCCTGAACATCCTTCTGCTTTCTATGTGAAAATTCATATATTCTCTTAAAGTGCAAAGAAGGATTTTGATTTGTTTAGATAATTTCTATTTTCCTTGTTTAGTAGTTTCTCCAGATTTCAGCTTTTGGTTTGTAGAGTCACAAAGTGAGTTACCTCCTGACGAAGTTATTTTAAGTATAATTTTACAAAGTGTCTTTCAAAAAATATTATTTTGAGGCTCAAGGAGAGATAAATAAGTTGAACTTGTAAATGAGGAATAATTTAAATTTTCTTCCAAAGCTTAATAAGATTGGAGAAGAGTTTGTTTCCTTGGGCTTCAGCCCAGTGGCTTTGCAGGGCTGTTGGACACTTGGCAAAATCTTTTCCCCCTCATGTGACATATAATTAATGCATATTTCTATAAATCCTGACTCGTTGGGCTCTCACAGCTCTTTAATACTTTACCTTACGATTTACCTGACTCACAGAATTTCAGTGTTTTAGTGGTGGCTGAGTCAAGCAATAATCACTATTTTTAGTCCAGCTTTTCCAAGCCAGCCTCTCCTCCTGGAGCACCTTCCTCGGAAAGATCCGGCCCTCGCTGCGTGACTGAGGCTGGGAAGGGATTTGTGGGATCCTTGGAAAGGGATTTGTGGGATCCTTGGAAAGGGATTTGTGGGATCCTCGGAGCGCTGGGCAAACCCACGGAGGTAGGAATGAAAACAAGAGCCCCTGTTTTCTGCTCCCTGCCTTCAGCTCCCAGTGAAATTCCTGCAAAAGAAGCCCCCAAGGACAGCAGGAATTAGAGCCTTTGGTTTTCTCCCTGCTTGCTGCTGCCTTTCAGGGCTCTCCAGCTCTGCCCGAGGAGGGGAATTGCATTTCCCAGCCCACACACTTCAATTCCTCTTTGTCCAGCGCAGGTAGAAGGAGGACAACTTTTGGGAGTTGCTTCCTCTTGCTGCAGAGATGGGCACAGGGAAGAGGCCGTGCCTGGGAGCGGAGCAGGGAACGTGTCCTGCTGCACGTCTGGCTTTGAGATGCTGCCCAAACCCTTTGGTGTCTCTCTGTGTCCGTTCTCAGCTGAGCTGGTGCAGGGAGAGGCCAAGGACACGGGGACAGGGGGCAGCTGGAGCACCCAGGAAACTTCCTGGGAAGTTCACTGATCCATGACACGGAGTGGGAGAATGCTGGGAGAGCAAGGGGGTTCAAGTGGGGCTGTTTGTCTTGTGGGGTCTCCCGTTTGATTTTTGTGTGACAGAGGCCCAGCGATGTTTGCCCGGGGATGGGCCAAGGCTGGAGCTGCAGGGCAGGTCCTGCAGTGATCCCATGGGATGGGTCACCTGTCCTGCCCCAGGAGGCTGCAGGGCAGGCCCTGAAAGCAGGATTCCCAGGGAGAAGGTGCAGATGTGGGAGGGAAGAGCCAAGGTTCCTGTTGCCCGATGGAGCCTTCAGAGTGCACCCAGATGGGGGATGTCTGGAGAGGATTTGGTGGAACAGAGGTGGGATATGTTTAGAGAGGATTTCGTGGAGCAGAGCCAGCTGTTCCTGGCAGGGTGGGCACAGCAGAGGTTGATATTTGGAATATTCCTTCATTTTCTTTAGAATTTGCTGTGGCCTCCAATAAAGTTCCTGTCCAGCTCACACCAGTGTTTCTGGGAATCAGGCATTCAATATGAGCTCTGCTTGCTTGGCCCCATCACTGTGTCACTTGGGAACCCTCAGAATCCCTCTGGGATGGAGGTGGCCTGACCTCCCATCCCAGTTCCTCTCTTCCATACCCATTCCTTACCCAGGGATAAGAGTGTGTCTGCATTGGCTTCCGAGCAGGCAGAGCCCTGCTAGTGCCAGGGAGGGGAAATTTCCTCCTCAGTGGAAGACTGGGAAGGCATTTTAGGAGCATGAGAGCATGTGGGAACCACTGGACACAATGGATGTGCTCTGTGATGGACCCACAGATCGCGCTCCTCCCTTGGCTGGGTGTAGGCCCAGCCCAAAGCTGGGCTTTATCCTTAATCTGAACAAGAGGTAAAGTTCTCATTTATCAAAAATTGGCCTCCTTTGAACTGCCAGCAGATTTTACATGGGAATTCCAAAGAGCAAATAGAAAGAGTCTTTACAGGGGGAGAAAAAATGAGCCCTGATCAGATAAGAGTAAAACCTGTGCGTGGTGTTAAAATAAGCCTCTGACATGTGCAGGATTAATGCTCTGCCCAGAGAACGTGGCAGCTCAGAGGTTGCTGTGAAACAATGTTCAAGCCTTTTCAGGAAAGCTCCTGGTATCTGAAAAGAAGATAAAAAAAAAAAAAAAGAAAGACCTGTGGTAACTTTTACTCACTTCAATTAAAATAGCAGCAGAAGAGCTGAAGAACTTCGCCCTCCAGGTGGACAAGAGTGGTGGGTCCCATCCTGCACCGTGTGCTTGGGAAGGCTCCAGCACACAAACAGTGTCTGCTCATGGAATTTTAAGGCTAAATTTATATGGCTCCATTCCTTGCAGGTCAGTTTAGGTCCAAAATTTGTCTTCTGTTCACATAAAATGAGCCTTGTCTCATCCAAAGCCCGTGTGGATGTGTCACTTGGGTGAGTGATAGACTTGGCAGTGCTTGAAATGCAAGTGGAGAGGAGTGCACAGGATTCCTAAGCCCCTTTCTAGGTTTCATCATGGCAGCAGATATCAGAGAAAAAGGACATTCAACGTCAGTCATTATGTTATTTTTATTCAAATATTCTAAAATAGCAGCAAGAAAAGAAAATGCTTTTGCAGGATCAAACCTCACACACGTGTGAGTTACACAGCAAGACCAGGTGCTCTTGGCAAAGGATCTCCTCTTTCCTCCTGCACAGCAAAGCCTGGATGGCATCTTTTCAAAATAATGGAGATTATTAGGATTAATTATGATTCCTGTGATTATTAATTGTTTGTCCTGTGGTACTGCCTAGGAATCCCTCTTCTGAATCAGCACCTCCTCATTATCCTGTACAAATATGGGAGGAAAAAAAGGTAATTCTTCCTCTGAAAATCCTTTTCAGCCTTAATCCTGCTAACCCTGGAGTTAAGGATCAGAATTCCACAGGCAAAGGGCGGTGATTTTAAAGGAAAAAATTATCACCACTTGAAAAATCTTTAACTACT